ATATATATATATATATATATATATATATATAAATGACTGTCAACAAACCTTGATAAACAAAAATCCACAACTATAATATGGATATTTTGAATGGAAAAGTGAGTGAGAAAACTAGAACATTATCTGTAATTTATCATGTAATGTTTACTGCATTAAATTCATAAGTTTCATCATGATACTTTTGTATAATCTAAATATCTAAACACAATGAAGTGTTAGTTCTGTTTTATTTTTAAATATTTCTAAATATTTTATTGTAGCTATTAATGTAAGAATCATCTCTTCCACATATCATGTAACATTTTTGCCAAAGAAATCTTTAGCAACCCACGTGATGCAGGATATTTTTAGTCAAATTTTTATGTGTGTGCATAAATATATAAATATTTCGTTTTCTCCAAATATTTTCACAGACGATGTCAAAGATGTTGCAAGAACTTCATTCCAATTCAATTCGAACAAAATATGGAAATATTTATCATTTTGGTATTATTCAACACTAAATCCTTAAGAGGCAATGGCTACTTGAAAATAGTGGTTTAATCCAAAGCTGTATGTTTCATGTAGAAATCATATTTTAGTCTCCATTGGTTGGCTCTGTTCGTGGAATCGTTATTTGGATTTTTATTATTATGCATTTGAACAAAGAGGAGACAGTTTGTAATCTATAAGTATGATAGTTACTAAGATAAAATAAGAAGCAGAACCAACGTGCATATATATATATTGTTACTTTGGTACTTTACATAGAGTAGAGAGCTTTATTAGTTTCAAATGTTTTAGGTATAGCTTTGTTTATAGGTAAAATATTATTCGTAGATATAATATTGTTTATAAGTGTAATATTCACTATAGGTGTATAATTGATTCTGGGTTTAACATTGTTTACAAATATTTCATGTTTATAGGTATAATTCTGTTTATTCCTTAGAGAAACTCAGAAGCATTAATTAATCATATCCATTCCAAAGCTAAAAGACAATTTTCTCTTATCCAGAATGAAAACAAACTTAAAAGTGGATTAACTTTGGAAATATATAGTAATGATCTTCTAGATTTAGACGTTTTGATTATTTGAAGCCCTTCTATAGTTTGTCATTTCATCAGAAGTTTGTTTGTTTGTTTGTTATTAATTATGCACAAAGCTAC